ATCAGGACTACACTGTGTCCTTTCATTCACGTTATATCGATACCTATTTTAAAGAGGTAATTCTTGCTGATGATGTTGCGATTCATAAATATCCTAACATTGATGAATTTGCTTTAGGTGAACAAATCCTAGTTCGTTCATTTTGTGAAGTTAGATTGCACAAAAGGTATGCCAATCATAGACAGATGATAAGTGCAATGATTTTTTATACTGTATGGGGCGAAAATATTTACTGTCAATTTTTCTGATATATATTACCTAATCTCATATAACTAACACCAGTTGACCGATGATGCAAAGCATCGAATAAAAGTCTGATTATAGGTTAGGCATTTCGAACAGTTAATTTCGAAATCATCAATGCGGTGAAGGATTTTACTTGTCCTATTTTATCCATCCCTATCTTGCTAAAAAGGTGAAAAATCTTTTGGGCTCTCTAGTTTTCGGAGTACCATCAGGGATTACATTTATTTTTAATCCGAATCTGTGGTTTCGAATTGGGCCTCATTATTATCTGTAAAATGTTCTGAGGGAGCGGGGGAAGTCTCGCTGGCCATATCGATATATTAGATGGCTTAATAAGTAAATCCCGAAAGCTAAGTATAATTTGTTTTTATATAGTATATTTCTCGCCATTAATAAAACCAATTTCAGATATTATGAAAACTAATTTCGGATTTGGTGATCCGTTCATTGATAAATTAATTGCTTTGGATCGGAATCACTTAATTTTTACAGGTAATCGTAGATGATTTCAGCTGAAAAGCAAAGATTAGCATTAATTTCACAAAACAACGACTAATTAGCTTAGTCTCTTGCACATCTTACAAGCGTGCCTTTTTTCAACACGCGTTATATGATCGACATGCCAGAAATAGGCATACATAGCAATGATTTATTGCAAAGCAATGGCTCTTTGAGCCTACAATTTCTGGTTTGTATATCCCGGATGGCGATCATTAAAAATTTATTATCGGAAAAAGCAATTATGTATATGATCGAGAATTTTTTTTTCTTGGCAAAAGTGATCGGCGTTCCGAAAAAGAACGCGCACGTGATTTCTCAAACTTTTAAACATATATGGATCCTATATAAAATGATGGCAAACACACAATCTAAAATCGATTCATTAGAAGAATAGATTTTCAAGCTTGTAACTGAGAATGATAAACTTAGACGGAAGAATGCCGTGATTCCTGAACTTAGAAAAAAATTTGCTGAAGTTGAAGCCGAGAATACCAAAGTCAAAGTTGAAAATATGAAATTAAAACAAATTTTGAAAGAACATGAAATCAGATTCACAAAACTGGAATATGATGTTTCACTAATCAAGAAAGAAGTAGCTATTTCCCCTGAAATTAATTCTGATAATACTCCCACAGAATTTATTTCGCCACTTATTGAAAGTCAGTCTGAGGAGAAGAAAGTTATTATTCCCGATCCCATGCCTGAATATAACTCGATCCAGGTCCAAAGGAGCGAATCTAAATCTCTATCAGAGCCTGGAATATTCACAACCTCTTTATCACAGGGCCAAGACATTATCAATGACAATACAGCTGAGACCCTTGATTTTGTAGAAACGGTATATAAGGAAAGTGTTAGTAAAGAGATAATGGAGAGAATCAGAGAAAAGAAGATGCGAGACCAAAATCCATCTTTGAACAGTACTTTATCTAATGTATCATGTGATGATCAAAATTTGAAATCTGAGATAAATACCACCATCGAAATTACCCAATTAGAACCAAGCCCTATCGATCAAGTGCAAAGTAACATTACTTCTGAAATAAAAATTCCATATAATCAAAAAGTAGAACAGGGTCTAATGGGTGAATTATCTGGTTGCAGTAAGGAGAATATCGCTATACAAGATGTGGATATACAAATTCCTAATCTTCCTCTAGAGACAATATTAATAGGATCCGATGAAGTTACTGCTGAGATTATAGTAGACTTGTTTAATATGGCAATGAAAACTAGACAAAAAGAAAATTTATGCTGGTATTGTTACATTAAAGCATATGAAAATCGAGTCATATATATTAAATCCATGAATAATATCGATGACCAATCAGCTAGAACACTGGTATATAATGAAATCAGATTGTTTCTTCCCGGTATCTCTGATATAAATTTGCGTAAGAGAACTTTCAAAGCTAAAAAGTTTATACATTGTTTGAAGGGATAGGAATAGATATGATTAGGCAAATAACTTACAGTGCAAATGCTATTTCAAGCCTAACAGATATTCAGATTCAAAATATTATAAATCATTTCCGTAAAAGGACCACTAACATAAATGATACAATCAATTGCCAAGAAGTGATCAGCATTCTGAAAAAGAACGCGCACGTAACTGAATCATCCAGCTCAAACGATTTATCAAGCATTAAGATAAGTGAGGAAGCCAAGATAAGCATATTACCTATATCTCAAACTGAAAAGAAAGCTTTCAAGTCTATAAATCCCGTTTCACCAAAAATCCAGGTAAATATATCTACCAAATCTATTTCTATTGATTCGGAAAAATTACCAAATACCGAAGTAAGTATATCCCAGGTAAATACATCTAACAAATCCCGATCTTCAATTTCTGTCTTACCCGATGACCCAAAAGAGAAACAAAAACATGTTATCAAAATGGCATTGGAATGGTTTCCCGTTTTATCTTTGAAATATAGTAATGAATCTGGCGATTATTTTAACAGTTCAGTATCCTGCTCTTTATGCAATAAAGATCATAAAAAAGAAAATATAAGAGATAATATAAA